TCACAATGAAATAGATAACCTCATTGCATAGAATAGGTAAAAGTAGGAAGACAGGTGTACTGACAGTAGTAAGAATAATAAAATACGACAACAAAGGTCTTCTCAATAGTTCAACATTGGAAATAGCAGGCCAAACGAGGATAGACTTAAAATAATCATCACAAAACATTAAGACCACCACGTAGTAAAAAGTCTGTAAATAATTAGATAGTGAAGAATACAAACGGAAAGAGGCGGAAAATTACAAACCAATAAAGGATGTGAAAATAATGCTGATGATAAATAAAGTAAAATGATAATGAGGGCGTTTTTTAAGTTATATCCGACAATGTAAGGGCTGGAGAGGTCACAAACTTCTCTTGTACATATAATTGGGGTCAAATGTACAAATTTTTAAGGCTTCAGCTATATTTAGTAGTTTGCATCCATGGTAATATAATATGATGCTTCCCGAACCCATGCAAAGATTGTGTTGAGGTTGAATACTGGCATACGATAGTTCATCTCCCACCAATAGGTTCAAAACTGGAATTAAGAATTACGCTACCCTTATTTTCGTAGTGGTCTCAGGCGGAAAACTCATTTTAGTCTCTTTCCGAAAGCCATACTATGAACAAATCGAATGAAGCTTAAGAGAGCTAAGCCTAACTCTCTAAACGTGAGCATTATCATACGTGAGGAGTAACCATTTGCTTCCTTACACACTCCAATATTCTACAGAACGAGTCTTTCGTGGTTTAATCTTGTGATCAGAGTTACTAACATAAACAACTGGGATATCAACTACTCTTAAAAATACTCTATAATCGTCATAAACAAGTACAAGTTGATGTAGGCATAGACATGTAATTGCGGATCAAATACCAAACTATTATTGCCTCCGTTTAACGAGAATCTTTCTTATTTCGTGCCGGATATCATTTTTTCAAAATATATTCTTAGGCTATCTTCAAGATGACAGTATATTTTCTTTATCTCGAAATTGTCAAAGATATTATCGAGGTTACCAAACATGTTAAGAAACTGTTTATATCCCGCGGCAAATCACACAATTAATGATAGAAACCAAAGTAAATTTGAATCTCACAGCTCGTTACAAAAATTGGCATTAATTACACATCACTCAAGAACTCAGTATACCCCATATACTTATCTGGTAAATTTCCCATGTGATACGAAATCCTTGTATAGCGTCTGAACCCGAAATCCGTTTATATTCAAAGGTACTAGGCTGATTGATCTCCATCTTATCCCTCATTGTTATGACACCGTATTAATAGTTATATTCCAGATATGCGTATACCAAAATGACTTTGTTCACAGTTACCCAAATTTCTCAAAATCCTTCTTTCGTACAGTCCCAAGGTTGTAGCAGCCTACAACTCGGATGAAATATGGTTGTTGGTATAGTTAATATGATACTAAATGCACGTTAAATTGTCTTCAGTTAGTCTACTTTTACGACACATTGTCTGTCTCGAATCTGCATTTACCTAGAATAGCCTGCTACTCGCCTAAGCGTTTACAAAGTTTCCGCGAAATTATATGCCTCAGGCCTAAATGTCTTCTATGTTCGATTATATTTCTAGTATAAGACATAATTTCAGTCGCTTAGAGGGTTATAGTGTTTGCTTGTAGCAAAGGTTATAACAATAAAAACGAGCTATAATGATTTTGACGAAAAAAATCCAGTTGGTATTCGAACATAGTATTTTCCTCCCCAAATTTTGAAGATAGACATAATCCTAAACCTTCGGCCTTTTTATACCCCTTCCAGTTGTGCATTACATCATTGATTCAGCGCCATGCTGTGGCTTCTTTTCATTAACCTGATGAAATATGATTGCCTAGAAATTGGCCTAATGAAAGGGAATGCATCTAAGTACTCATACTCTTATTGTCCCATTACAAGTGACTAAACTTCATTAGTCATAAACACTGTCTGTCCCGCTTCTTGCATTTCCCTTTCTCTCTCTTTTTCAGCACCCTCATTGTATACCATCGAAAGCATTTGCGGAACACACGACCTTGTCCTGGGCTATTGCTTATGCCTCCGGAATTTATCTGGGATCACTATCGAAAAGTACAAACAAATAGGTTCAAGTTGACTTCCCCAAATGACTGCTCTGGCCTTTAACTCAATTCATTCTCTACCACTAATATCTTGTCGTAACGCAACCCACACAAAGCGCACCAACTCTTATATTAGACATCAGAGTTTTGCTAACATTAACATTCTAATGCATGAAACTTTATTCCTGTTTATACTGTTCATGTGCTCTGTCACATTAATACAACTGAGTAACTTAATAAAGTAAAGCCGAAACATTTGTAAGAACTTGACCTTTAAACTGGTATGTCTTATGAGACATAATGTTATGAGAAAACATCATTATTGGATGGTATTTTCAATTCTTTAGTCTTTTGACCTGTCTTGTATTTTAATATTTATCCAAAGCTTATATAATCACGGTTTTGTCTTTTTTGATCATATTTGGCCAGACCATTATAACCTATTTCTAGTTAAAGTTTACTATGGTTAGTATTAGGGTTTAGAGATCGTTCTATGTGTTCAGACTAAATAATAATATTTTTTAATTGAGATCATTAATCGATCGACGTTAGACCACCATTGGAAACCTGAAAGCACTGGATGGCCGTTTCCTCCCAGTACAGGACTCTTCGTTTATGGTTTAGCTTAGATCGGCTAATGAATTTATGAACCCACACTTATAAATGATGCTCGTTTAGTTGTTGCGCCCATTTCATTTCCCAATCTTAATTGCTACTTTGTTTTAGGTTTTGGTTTCTTTCTTCACCATGATTCCATTTCGTTTTTAGTTAGCTGTGTAGTTTTGGTTTCATTTGATTCTACACACTTGTCGATCGGATTCTTTATTATTCTAATTTCATCTTTTGGTTTGATCTATCAACAGAGGACTGGGTCATCGTCTTCTACCGTTGTGGAGTAAATCGAATTGATCTATCCTCTTTTTGGGCGAAAATATTATTCCTTACTGGACAGCAGTGTCGCTTTCAAACCAATTTGATCATATTCAGTTTTGTAGACACCGAGTGGTTATTAGAACTGGTTGAAAACTATCCACATAATGTATGCTTGCACTCATATGTGTACTTTTCGTGCCTCTAGGTAACCCTCGTGCTATTAATAGAAGAAACCAGACAAGTAGTGAATAGGTCTTTATTTAGATCTTCGCACAGTCACAGGGGAGCGTGGGATTATTTGTTCAGACAAACAAAGCCCCTCAACATTCAGTATAAGATAATAGGAAATCTAACGCCTATACAAGATATGGAAGTGAATGAATACCTGAACTATACTGTTTTGACATATGCTTAGTTGTTTGAGGTGAACTCTTAACCAAACAACCTAAGCTGCTACATACTTAGTTAAATTTGGCGCCGTGTCGTTAATGCGTTGCTGTGTCCTTGATTACTAAACCCGGTTTGTCAGTAATTTTAATATAATCTATTCGTACAAAAGATTAGTGAACAGTTCTTGGCGTTTTGTACATTATGGGAAACATTATGTTATTGTGTTCTAAGAAAGGTCCAATAAATGCGTTCAAAAGTAGGCGAGAGATCCTATTTCAATGCTGGTCAACACTATGTTTCCAAGTTACCAATAGGAATTTGGTTCTTGAGATATGTGTAACAATCAACAGTTAACATTTGCTGATAGTTGATTGAATGGCCGGGTTTCGAGTATGCTGGAACTTACCTGACTGAAATCATAATATTAGCAAGAATTGCAACAGGACACACTCGTAGTGATCAAAGTGTCCACTTTAAAAGGGTAGGGGCGCCCTGAAACGTACCCGACGGCTAGCCACAAAGTCAGTTCGTGGAGTCAAATTCGAGTTTTATGAAGAGCGCCTCCAATCACTGAATGTCTTCCCATTAGAGTATAGGCGTCTTAAAGGCGACCTAATGACTTATGGAACCCCAAATACTCTTGGGTATCTCCTTCAACACTTACTTAGGCTTAGTCCCAACACAAACCCTAAGGGTAAAACCCAGAAACTGGGGACAACACAGCAGAACGAACTATAGGCACACCTCATACCCTCCTAAGAGTAGTCAAATGTTGTAATTCGCTGCCAAATCACCTGGCCCAAACGACGTTTTAGGGGTCCATCAAGGGAAAACTTAACATATTTTTAAGGATTAAAGACAGTATCTCGCTATAAGTTACTAATTTTTTTCCTCACTTATCGTTAATATATACCAAGGTTCTTACCCGGAGGCATCGGTGATTAAATGCTACTAGATAAGGAAGCACATTAAGTGAAAGTTTCTTCTATTTTGTCCAGAGTCATTTGAACCGCTTGAACCATTAGTTTCCCTCGTAGATTGTTATTTAGTGCTACTAGCTTTCTCAAGGACGTTGTCACTATGCAGTCGCACGTGCAATTCACTTGGGTCGTATTGCTGTCATAATTCGGTTAGTAGAGGTTGTTTTATTATAAGACATACTAATTGGTTATATTCTGTTTTAATTTCACGATTTATCATGATGTTACCTGTCTCACTTAACGTTCAACGTTATTTAAATAACTTGGGAATTAGGAAATATCACAGCCCACACATAGATCAAATGACAGTTACTACTGGAAACATTATTCATTAGGGTTCTCAAAGTCATGTCCTGTCAACCTCAGGATTGCTTATAAAAATACTTAGCTCGGTAGCGCCACAAGTACTTTGTCTAGTTATGAATAATCTGAGTTTTTGCAAAGGTGAATAATGTTGAGAGAAAGTTTCAAATTTCCTTTTTTATTGATGCTGCCGAATTCTTTGCCTATAGAATCGACACTACATAATAAGGCGTAGTTTGTAAAGTTAGTAGCTGTCGGAATCGTATACAGTCAGGTTCTTAATGGTGAGTTTTTTTATGCGACTTCCTGACGACATTTTACTAGCCGTTTATTATTTATATTTCCTTGGTATTCATTCTGTGTATTTTTCTGGACTGGTATCGGTATTCCTTCATAGCTAATCTGAAACGAGGAGAGCAGCTGGCCCAGATGGATTAACGCCAGAGGTTTTTAAGGATGGTAGTCCAGTTTTAGCGATTAGGTTGATCAATATCTTAGCCAAAATCGGGGAACTAAATGTAATTCCATCTGACTGATCTCAATCACCGACTGTCGCATTATATAAGGAGTCAAAATCATCCCATGATAGCCATAGAGACCAGTTTGACTAATATAGCATCTAAAATACTAGCCTCAATAATTATCGGACGCCTAACTAAGACTCGTGAACTGCAAACATGAGAAAATCAGGCTGACTTCAGACCTGGTCGTGGTTGCATCAACCACATATCCACCATTCGTCAGATTCTGGAACACAGGCATGCTTATCGGCGTCCGACGATGATGGTTTTTCTTGACTTAAAAGCAGTATTTGACTCTGTAGATCTTGGGGTTCTGTGGCAGTGTCTGTCATTGAAAGACGTATCTCAGAAGTACATAAGCCTTGTAAGGACTCTTTACTCGAACACTGCCAGTCGAGTCAGAGCTTATGGTGAACTGTCATCTGATTTTGCAACCGCAAGTGGTGTCCGTCAAGGCTGTCCACTACCTCCATTTCTGTTTGATTTCATCATAGACCTACTGATGGAAATAACGTTCGTGTCGACTGAATTTTCAGAAACTGATCTACCAGGAGGTCCACATATCGACTTAGAATATGCAGATGATATAGTCCTGTTTGATAAAGACGCTGATAAAATGCAGAATGTTTTTTGGTAGCACTGAGCAACAATGCCACGATGCTTGAGATGCGTTTCTCGCCCTCAAAATGCAAGTTGTCGTTTCAAGACTGGCCTACGTCAACACCTAAACTAAGGATAGGGAGTGAAATAGTCGAACACGTTGACAACTTCACTTATCTTGGAAGTTTGGTCAGCCCAAACGGGTTGGTGTCTGACGAAATCTCAGCACGGATTCAAAAACCTCGTTTGGTTTTCACCAACTTACGTCACCCGTGGCGAAGGCGAGATATCCGTTTATCAATTAAGGGACGAGTGTACTGCGCGGTAGTTCGTTCTGTTCTGCTTTACGTCTGCGAAACGTGGCCATTAACAGTAGAAGATACTTGTCACTAGTATTTGACCACAGGTGTCTTAGAATTATTGCTGGCATCTGTTGAGACCACTAGGTAAGTAATGGTGAGGTTAGACTCAGGGTATTAGGGAATGATGGTAAATCAGTTTATGAGGTTGTGAATCTTCATCGACTGAGATGGTTGGGCCACGTGTTACGTATGCCTGAACACCGATTACCACGACGTGCAATGCTAACCGGTGTTGGAGATGGTTGGAAGAAAGTTAGGGGCGGCCAAACCAAAACGTGGCATCAGTGCTTGAAGACACTAACTTCTAGTCTGAGACATGTTGGTAGATGCAGACTACTTGGTTGGGGTCCACGTAAATATCGTAACCAATGGTTGGAGACTCTTGGTGACATGGCTCAGAATCGACCACAATGGCGTCGGTGTATGCACTCTCTGTCTTCCCTTAAACTAAGAGATTAAAAATCGCCTCATATCTTTCTTTCTACAAACTAATCACTTCCTACTGTACTATATCCTTATATGCAATCTTTCTTTTATATATTACCACCTCTGAATGAACTGCTTTTCTGAATCCGGTGTTTATCTTGTTGTGTTAATGAGGTATGGCAACTTGGACCGATGCATATATATGCCTGGTCCTACGTTATAGCTGACTGACTCACTTCATAACTATGCTTGGCAGACTACTGGCACGTATTTTTAAAATTCTCTTATCAAAAGATGAGAATACCTTAGTTTTATCTAGTTAAAAAAATTCTCGGTCTATGAGCCTAGGTTTTCATCAACCCTGATGCCTAACTTTGACAGTTACCCAGCTAGTAATTTGTAGCTTATGAACCTTTATCGGCTTACATCTTTTAATCAGTAAGTTTTGGTCCAAATTTTATTATGGCAATTTGAAAGACATATAAAGAATTAATTTCGAATTATACTTTCTAATTAGTATGTGCATCATACGTTTTGTTGCTGTTGTTCTTGTAGTTTCTCTAGTTTAGGTAATTTTTCACTACTATAACAGACATCTTCCACTAGTCGGTTTACATTTATTAAAATCTAGAAAACTTACATATGGATGACGATGAACTTACTCAAGAGATTTTGGACCAGTTCGATCTCATTTGTACACAACATCAATATGATCATGGTAAGTAAGGTATTACTAAGTGGGTCATATACATTTAGTGTCAGCATACAGTGGGGAACATTTAAATAAACACAGTGTACATTCAAACAGTAAGTTCATTCCATCTGTTCTACATCGTTTCAAAATCTAGAGCTATCTAATTGCTTATCTCGGTCAACTTCGTTAGATACAAAGTTGGGAGGGTGCACGCAGACATCTGACTTCCCACCTAATGATCAAACTCCAACTGTTGGACGAAATGAACTTGAACGGCTAAAAAAAGAAGTAAGTTTCATGTTTTGATCAAACAAAACCACTTACAAGAAAATGATCTAACTGTGGTACTTAGATGTCTTATCTAACTTCTAATTGTTCTTCCGAATGTGATTTAGTGTTCTACAGAAATTCATAACATTCGATGTTAGAGTGCTTATGGTGACTAATGGTTCTGTGACACATATCCTTAGTTAAATTTCATGTTTTCAAATTATGAGGTAAAGTTGCTGTCAAATTTATTTTCTACCAAACTAGGAGGTATTATATTTTTATCATGGTAGTTATCATTTATTGAATAACGTAATTGACTGTCGTAAAACGCTTTGTATTTGAAAGTAATTATTTGCATGATGCGTGTAAAGTAAATATATTCTTAGTGGTTGAAACTCATCTTCCTTCATGTTACCTGAGTGTTAAGTATAACTGCAGGTATTTTAACATAAAAAATATGACCATTTAGTCAGTTGATAGTATTTGTGAATTTCAAACGTCTAGAAAATTGTGGCTTTCTCTAGTGTGAATCTAGTTCATGAAACACATGCAGATGCCGTAATCGATTGAACAAGATGTTCTAAACAGTTGTATAACCATTAATAAACACCAGGTTTGACGAAGTTAGTCCTAATTTACACTAAAACCTGTCATACTTGTGTTTTTAATCATGCACTTGGGTTTGACCGGTATATTTAGTTAAGCTATTGTATCTTAAAATAGTAACAAACAACTTCAAAGATTACGTAAATATTGTATTAGTTGTTGTCAGTGTGTACGTAAGTATTATTTGTATATATCATTTATTTATTTATTTCGGGTCATTTTTCTTACCGAATTCTTTTTAGGTATCTGTTCTACGTGAAGAGCTTTATATGAAACTAGGTGAACTTGCTACCATTAAAGAATCTGCCAGTCGAACAAAAGCAACCGATTCTGATACTATCAGTAAATTAGAATCACATCTTAAATCTGAACGAAATGATTTCCAACGTAAACTAAGTGAATTAAATGCTCAAATTGCCTTTCGTGAAGCTGACTATCGATTAGTATGCAGTGAACTAGCTCGTATAAAAGAAGAAGTTGCATCTAATAAACAAGTGGTGAACGGTGAGTATTAAAGATTCAATTACAACTAATAAATAATTAATTGTTTCCTTGGTACTTTATTTTTTCATCTTATCTTTCAGACCAGTAGAAAATTATTGATCAGTCAGTTATAAGCAATGTAGAACCTGACATATTTATGTATACGCTATAGTTGGCACACCATTTCACTGCAGCCAGATGAATTTTTGAGACATATGCCGGAGTAGTAATACTAGCAACAGTACCAGTTGTTGTAAAAATGATTGTTCATAGACAGTACGATTTAGAAGGAAGAATCAAACTCTCAGGATAAGAGGTATAAGGTAATTTTAAAACTCGACGGCTAAGGGGGAGATAAGAAGTGAGTATATCTGTCTCATTGTGACAGTACTTTGATGTGATGATTAAAGAAACTGATACTTACTGACATAATTGATTTTTACCATAAACAACGTTAGTCTTACAATTTAATCTGATGGTCAACTTTTTATTTAAAACATCACTTTTCTCTCAAGTTGAATTATTCTGAAAACTAAGCATCAGTTAATATAGCTTTAAATGAAGTTGTCTTAGCATTCAGTAACATTTAAAGATACTGAACAAAAAGATATCATGTTAGCGCTATAAGACGAAGTCGACAACGTGAAAAGCAATGAAATGAAAAATAGTATTATCAACGGTAGTTGAGGTCTAAACATTTGAATTATGGTTCTAAATAACATATGAAACCAAAGTAATGGAAACCTACTATATAACCAATCATCAATGCTATTAGTTACAGCAATAACAGGTATTTTCCTTTGACCTTTCAAAAATAACTATCCGCATTCACTAAAACTTTATTCGTAAACGTTGATATAAATTCATCGACTAGACAGTTTCTTCAACTTTTCACTTATTTAATTTAGTAGGTTTATATAATACTCTAAATTCTGTAACTGTTCATCTTTGCTAACTGTTATTTATATTTCAGAACGTTCTGTTGAATATTCTCCTGCTTCACAAATTCTTGTCTCCCTAACTTCCCCAAATCCTGATCATGTTTCTAACCAAAAATTACGAACACCTGTCCCTCGTGTTCCAAGCACAGATTTTCACCTTCCTGCACCAGTTACTCCTATTCCTAGTAAACGGTATAAAGTCCCAGTCGGTGGTCGAATGTGGGATGTTAATGTCACGAACAATTTAGATGATAAACTAAAGTCAAATACAACACCACAAGCTATTGATAAAAATGTAGTCTTGATAGATAGTGATGAAATTACACCGTCAAATGCATCGAGGAAACGACAACGATGTATTGTGTCACCTGATACTTCTCCGGAATACTGTGTGCGCCAAATTCCTGTATCTTTAGCTGACGCATCTGTTGAAACTACAGACCTACTACATATTACTTCTCATAGTCATCCCTTGTCTTATCGAATTCCATCCTGTGCTTTTTCAACCACTGAGCCTTTCAGTGAATTTACTAAAGGAAATCCTGAAATGTTATCAGAATTATTAGATTTGTCTATTTCAATTCCTCAGAATGAAAAGAGCAGGTCAGATTATTATTATTATTATTATTATTATTATTATTATTATTACTGATTTATTTTAGTTGTCATAAACACCTTGAACTATTCATTATTTCTCTAAGAAATCAATAACCGTGGTTTACGACTTTACAAGGCTCGAGTACAAAATATCATGTAGACTACTTTTGCAAATTTACAGTCAACTAATTTATTTCCTAATACTCAATTGTTAATCATTTACTAAGTACAGCTTTACGAACTAGCCTTGAAACCCTACTATCAGTGTGTGTGTGAGCCATTGGTAATACACGGCTTTCCATTTGAAGTAGATTAAATGAGATTCGGATCAGCGATCTATTTTTGAAAACAAAGCGTTTTAACCAATAAGTCACCGCTCCTAAAATAACTGTGATATTAATAGGGTTTCTGTTCAATAACTACTTAGTCAGTGTTGCAAATTATGTTTTCATATTGAATCGTGGATGATTATCAGGTAATAGAGTCAATTTTTGAGTTAAAAACTGAACAAGGTCACACTTAGTTCACATGTTGACTTGGGAATCATCGATCACGAAATTGTCAAACAGTTTCTTACTGGTACATCCTTCATGGATAACTTACATATACCTACACACTAAAAAGCTAAGCTGTATGAATACCTAAATGGTCAACTCTGTTATTCCCTAAAACTAAGACCATGTTGTATAGCACGGTGAGAGATAGTACAAGTAGGTTCGCTTGGATGTTTGCTGAACCTATTTTTGATTAACTATTCGTAAATAGGAATATAGACTAATACACATGTTTTTTCTTCTTCAGGAGTAGCATCGATATTAATCCCCAAACAACATTGGTCACATCATCTTTTTCAATTTCAGAAGATTCCACTTGGTTGTTATCAGATTATTATCTCACAGGGTTAAGTAAATTACTTCCACGACAGTCAGATATTCTTAGTGGAATCCAGTCATCATCTGATAACTATGTATCACGACTAAATTTAGTGGTTAAACGATTCTCTGAATCTGTACCCTACTTGATACGAAGAATAGAAGAGCAGTTAAAAGTACGTTGACACTAACATTTTTCTATTCAACTATCCATTCATGTTGATGATTTGTGTAGTAAATGTCATTTCGAAGGATGACATTAAAAA